AGTCGGTTCAATTAATTATTAATTGATCATTTGGCCATAATATGTTCATACATATATATACATATTATGAAGCAGGGATGCTATATGCTATCCTTTCACCTTCATTGTCCCTGGGTGAAACAACTAATAGAGCTAACCTAACTTTGTAAAGACTAGCATTTATTTCCACAATACAACACCTATCTTATTACCTAAGTAGGTAGGGAGTCTATACCATACCACTGGACCAATTGGTTTCATTGCTGATGTGAAAAGTGTTGTATTGTCGATATAAATCCAAGTTTTCACAAGGGTAGGTTACCTTTATTGGTGTTTCATATAGAAGAATTGGAGGTGATAGCATAGTACAGGGAAGAGTAGGACAAATAGGCTCCCTTACTTTTTTATTTTCGAAACTCTTCGAAATTTTAGTGAACCTGTCTCTTCGCGATAGTATCGGAAAGTGGATTCAGTATCAGATGTACCTAAGATGGACTCATTATGTGTGTGGAATAACCCAGACGATTTGAAATTCAAATGTGCCGATTGCGCATAATGCTTAACATAAAAGAATTATTATTGGTATTTGAAATTGCGTTCAATTATTTATTTGTTAATTTGACTATTCTGTTATTTTTACAGACTTATCAGATGAAAAAATCCAAGTGCGAGTTTGGAAATTCGAAAATATGCTTTCCGCGATTTTTGAAATTTCCAGTTCTCGGAATTACTATGAAATTACGGTTATTTCTAATTACATTCCTGTTGACTCTTATTATTTGCTGATTGTTATTTCCGTATTGATCATGTTTATTTCCACAATAAATTAGAAGTAGTTAATAAAATTATTATGGAAAAAAAGCACTTAATTTTTTCAGTGGGTCCATGGTGCCCTACCCTCCCCTATAACATCCTTCCTTCATAATAGGCAGATAGTATATATATGACCGTATTATGGTCGAATAATGAATGAGATGCCATGTCGATCTCTATGGATCAAATTTGTCATCACTACGAGGAGGATACCTGATTGCTTCGACGACAGAGATGAGATCAACTGAGAGGCCCGAATGGTCAATAGTAATATCATAAACGAAAGACAGAAGGTAACTCCTTACGGAGCTACCTCCTTAAAATGCCACCTGAAGTAAACGTAAATGATTCTGAGCAGAAATGACTCAGAGAGTAGGGGACGAGGAAGATTTCTGTCCTTCCGTAGACTCCGTTGCCGCCTTTCAATAGAATCGATACGTGTTCTTGAAATTTTAGTCTTTTCGTAATTTTTGCGGGTTTATTGGGTATGTGGGTTTCCTGCACAGCTTCAAGTGGACCCGAGACCTCTTGGGAAAGTTCTCAACGATAACCGTATTGCTGTCAGAGATGATTAGCCTTCAATTTCACTGCGGAAATACGAGAACGAATCCGACGCCGAAACGCTACGTACTGAGAGCCATCGAGCCAGGACTTAGGGTTAACTTGAGTGAGTGTGCACATCTGCCGATTATTGGTGTGATGCGTTTTAGGGCTGCTTGTGGGAGTCTAGAGAGTTCAAAGGATCTTCCTCTCTGCTCTGTGGCCATCCGGAGGGATATCAGTACAGAATAATTAGCGGAACTATTTTCAAGCCTTCAGGAGGTTGTCAGAGCCTTAAGGGAGCAAACGGGTTCAATTGGTATTTCTATAAAGCATCTGGAAATAACAAAATTCAGTGGACAACTAAGTGGCGTCTCATCGCTGACTCTCGTATCGTATAGTCTTCACATTTTCTGCATGTATACGAATGGCAACACGTTTCAGTATTCAACCTGGCCTTTCTCGTTTGTCCCAAGCAACTCCCCCGAGATTCTTCCATAAATATGTAAATACATCGTAACAATGTGCTGAAATAGAAGACACGAGGAAAAAAGGGGAAGAAAAATACAAGAAAGGTTCAATGCATCTAGCGGCCATTTGTTTGCTGTAAGTTTGAGTTGAAGTCAAAGTTGGAGGGAAGTAATATGAACTCGTAAATACTTACATTATGAAAATGGAGAATGTAAATAAAGGTGTGTCACAAAGTTTCAGGAGGATTTAGTGAACCGTCTATAAGATAGCCAAATGAAAATCCATTTTATGGGAGATTTCGAAGGAAATTAACACATTTATTTGAATTGAATGTTTCATAATTTCGCATGCAATGAATCAAGTTTATCACGGGACGGATAACGGCTAGATGAGGAATCGATTAGCCATGAAACATGAACTGAAAATTGGTTTAAATTTCTCTCGTGTGAAATTCTCAATTTGAACTCATTCTTTCATTTGACATTCAGGAACTCTCTCGTCATGGTCGATAAGTTGGCCCTTATGGCAGATCTGAAGACAAATAGTGTTCGGGGTAAATGACGAGATAGCCGAGTGAATACAATTTGACCCTTCACTGGGGTTGTAAAGCCCAGGTATACCAATAGGTACGCCTACGATGTCTCCTGAACTGCTGCGAGCGGAAAGTGAGCCGAAAGCAGGATGAATTTTTAATTTAAGGAAAGGAATAATTGACACACAATTCACTTAAACCTTGGTATATTGAAAAATGAAATTTGTACGGAGAAAGTGAAAACACAAAATTATTGCACTGATAACACAGAACAAATACTTAATTGATTTTTGCACACAGAAAAGTTCGAATGATTGAATTTAAAGTTCGTAAATATATAAGTGACTCTATTAAGCACTTTAGATAGATGATAATATACCTTAACAACGAATATTTGATTTTTAAATGTTATAAATGAGAGATCAAGTCATAAGATCTTGTCTCTCTGAAGTCTTGGTGGTAACTAACTTGGATTTTTCTTAAATTCTATGCCTCAACTAAAGATAGAGAGTGAGGGTAAAGAGGGATGTTACTCTCAAAAGAGAGAGAAGGGTAATTTCCTTATTGGTGGAAAAATAGCTGAGGGCGTGAAATTATTGGATGGTCTGCAAAACAGACCCAAAGTACGTTGAGTCCTCGTTGAGGACAGAAAGACAAAGAAAGGGAGAGGTTCTGAAGGAAACTCTCGAGGTCTGTTTTACTGCTTGCACATGTTGGGGAAAGTGTCTCGAGACTGCTTTTTCGAGAAAAACAATTTTTTTTGTGTGAAGCAATTGTCAAGAGGTTCTGAAATGGGCAAATTTGAGTGGTTTATTACCTTGACGTGAGAGAATTTAAGTAAAAGAGATTTAAAAATATTTCTTTTGTAAATGGGGAAAACTATTTCGTTAAATTGAGGAAAGATGAGTTTTAACGGTCGGCTTGGACATAATTTTATATTGCGACCGAACAAATAAGTAGACAAAGGTCTCGGGGACCCGATCTAGAGTTGAGCCCTTCACCGACAATCATTCTGAGCTTGGGAGACTGACATGATGAAGTGATATAACCAAGAAAAAGTTTTATTTGGTTCTTACTTGAAAGTACAATTTTTTTTTAAATATAAAAAAATGAAAAAAAGAAAGTCAAGTCAGGAATTTACCGACGTCCAATGGTCGCGGTGGCTAAATCGTTAGTTCGGCTTGGCCACTAGGAGGTCGTGGGTTCGAATCCCAGTCCGATCGGGTTTTTTAACTTCTGGAAACAGGGGTTGTGGGCTCGAAAGGGTGGCTAGGCTTCGGATCCCGACTGAGGGGACGCTAAACTTCCGATAAAGGGGGTTAAGGGGCTCGCCTTATCTACCGGTTTGGTTATTTAAATTATCCTATTTCCAATATAAATGTTTGAAAAATCAATAATTGACTGAAGATTAACTTTTGACCAAACAAATTTTATGTTCCGACTACAGAAAATGTTCATAAGGATCCAACGGTAAATACTTATTGTTGGAATATGTGTGTCAATGAGTATTAAAAATTGATATGACCATCATTACCCAATACCGAGGTAATAAACAATACATATGACTTCATTATTGATTATAAATATACTCAGTGTGATGTTTTTTTTACTAACCGTGAATATGACATTAAAAAATCGTTTATGCACCATTAGTTTACAGAAAATATAAAAATTCCATGTTTTTCACTGACCATTAATGAGGTCGAGAAATATCATATATGAAAATATTGTGAAATTTCCGGAATCGATTTTTGGGGCCATTACAACAACTATCCCATATAAATCGAAAAGTGAAAAAATTGAAAAATCCACATTTTACCCCATCTCTACCTCGATTGTGGAGTTTTTGCTTCGGAATGCAAGTTTTCAATTTTGGGTTAAAGGACATTGTTTAGAAATGCGATTGGAAAGAGAAAATCAGTTTTTTCGTTATTACTGAAAAAATCATTCACAATATCAATTAAATCAGGGGTTGAAAATTATAACACTTTTTAACATTCCGTTGAACGCGCTACATGGAGAGAAATTTTTTAGAAAAATTCTAATGCTAGCACGGTAAAAGTGCTAGTTCCAGTGCTGGCACTGGAAATTTTATTTGGGAAAACGTGAATTTTTCCCCGTATTTCTGAGAAATTTTCTCTTAATAGCACTAGAATTTTTCACAACCGATGGATTGTGATTTTTTTCAGTACTCATACTAGAATTTTTCTAGAAAATTTCTCTTCGTGTATGACGCCGCGCCGTACTTTTCCCATTTTGTAAATTACACTGCAGTAAAGCCTCAGAGAAAAATGTTTGAAAAATCAATCATTTGTTCAAAACCTCAAATTTTACAGGGGTCTCATATTTGTTCTGGGGTTTCACTTTACCCCACTGTCCATTTTACCCCGGTCTTCCCTAATCATTCTTCTCGATCTATGAATCTTCGATAAAAATCATTCTCCTTTCCAAAACACCATTTCATAATTTTTTTTCGCCTAAAAAATGAAAACAATGAATAAATTCGTGTTAACTAAATTCATACTGATGGTATAAATCAGATGTGCAGAATTGAGATAGATACGTGACAAACGATTGAAGGATATAAAGTACATGGATATAGATTCTGGCCTTCCCTAAATACTGAATTATTCATATTGAAATAGTCGGCTTAGAGCACACAAGTATGTATATCACGGGAGCGGGCACAGAAGTGAGGGAGAGAGAAATCAGTGTACCATGCGCCAGTATCTGCTGGACAGCGAGAAAGACAGAGAAGGAGCATGCCAGTGGTGAGGCGAGTGCGCCAATCGACACACGCTTCATCTGCAAGTGTAAAAGGCATCATTTGATTATGCATCCCCAGGGGGATGGATAGCGTTGCTATACTGCTGCAAATCTCTCGATTTCAAATACTATATGTCCCCACAGAAGCTTATCCACACTGCTACATGAAAACATTCATTCGATTTGCCAATATACGGGGAATATGGAATACCGGGGCTGTTAGCATACAGTGGGTTTCAGTCATGTTCTCAGCGCCACGCACCGTATTAATCAGCAGTGGAGTTTAATTCTGGTTAGTGGATCAGTCTGCACTGTTGGAAAAAACCTTGATATTTCATGGATAATCAGCAGTATTTTCCATAAAAGGAACATTGAATTCGATTGCGAAAAATAATGGACTCTATTAAACAGGCGATACTCCCGAGCTAACAATTAAGCTCACTCAGAAAAATTTACAACTAATATGCAATGATTGATTATTTATTATTAATTTGGAAGGAATTGAAAAATTCATTCCTGGTTTTGTGAATGATACTTTGGTTTAATTCAAGATTCATACACGGAGAAAAATGTTCCGTAAAAATTACGGAACTCACAATTTGCTCGCCGATTACGAAATCGACTCAGAAAATTTACGTGACGGTATCATAATTCTTCACAGGAGATTCAGATAAAAATTACGGAGCGTTCCGGAAAAAATTCCGTGACAGTTCCGTATAATTTCCCACAACCACATTTCGTTTCGGAATTACGGAAAATATACGTAATTTTTATTGAATATTTCTCTCCGTGTATCATTCTCAATTGAATTTATTATTTGAATTTCGTTGGATTATGCTATTATTCTTTAATTATTCTAAATATATTTTGAGTATTATTTGATAACAAGAACGAGGATACCTATCATTTTACGTTTGGACTTCCAGTGGAAAATGACATGATAAATTGATTTAGTAACAATAATAGTTTGTAATAGAATGACGCGGAATAAATGTTTGATAGAAATTTACGCCAGTCTTCAGGTGGTAGGACCCGGATAAGGGACCGATTGCAGGATAATTTTCAAGTTTTTTGTTTTTAGCTGTAGTTTCCATTAACAGAAGAATATACTACAGTTTTTCTCTTCCGCTAGAGGCGATAAATACTCAAATGTAATATTTTGTGTTTATATTTGCAAGCTTTAGAATGACAAATCCATGATATTTGTTGGAAATTAACAATTTGGAACATTTCGTGAATACTTTCAAGATCATGAATTCAATATTCTGTTCTACGACGAAAATAGGCAGAAAAATGTTTCTTAAAAAATCAAGAATATATTTTAAGCCCGCGACTTTCAAAACTCATAGCAGTCTTCCCTTAATGTATCGTTATAGTATTCCTCCTACGGCCATGGTCATTTTTACTATTTTATTCTTTTTATGTTGTCAAGAATTCATGAATTTATTCTCTAGAACCATTTCCCATGATGTTTCGTCTTTTGAAAATCATCGAGAAATCAAATTGGCTCTCGCCGAAGGAGTTTACCCCTCACCTGGATTGTCGTCAGGGTGAAAATGTCTCATAATTTTTTTTTTCGAAATCACTCGGCACTCATTAAAAAAGTACCTAGGAAAAGTGTTATATGGATCGCAAAGGTGAATGTGATTCTGGTCACTTTGTTGGTCAGACATCATTTCACATGAATAATCAAGAATGTCCAAAAATAAGCATACTAAGAATTAGTAACAATGGGAAAGGGAAATAGGAAAAGGGTAAATCCAATATCTCATTGCAAATCGTTCGTGTATCCGGGTGGGAAACGAGGTCGAGCACTAATAGAAGGCTCGAGCCAACGACGACTAATGGGGTACATCGCTTTGGCCTTCTGCAAGAGTAAAAATGTACCTGCCACCTCCACCCTTCTCCCTCTGTGTTCTGCACAACGAAAGTTTCACGTCATTTTTTTTCTTCTTTTTGTTTCTTTTTCGGCTTTTTTCCTTTGCTCCCGGCTCACTCTTTCACCGGCTTCCGCTCTCTCGCGACGCCACGCCTCTTGGCACTCGGGCTATAACTTCCGCCGGTATAACAGGCACGCGAGAATCCACCCTGGCCTTTTGGAATTCAAATAAATGTATAATTAGAGTGGTGGAGAATGACTTGAGTTTTAACACCTCTGGGGGTAAAAAAATCAAGGAAGAATGCCGAGGTTTTTGGGGAAATTCGAGTCTAAGTGCTGAAGGGGTTTCAACAGTAATTAAATTTATATTCATTTTCTCGTGTTAAAGTAATTTATTCAAAACTTTTGAAGTTTTTCAGTCTTTTTATAGCGAGAAAAATCTCTGGGAAAAATTTGGTATGGAAATTTCGGGCATTCGTTTATCTGAAACAAATTTGATTGGCAGAATTATGTTTTTTTTTCTCAGTGTACCAGCTACGTCCACATCGCGCACCCTGGGTAACGCTAAAGATTGTCGTCTTCACTAGCGTTGAAATATTAAATTCCTAAAAAGCAATCGAAAAAATTATTCAACGATAAGTAATATATTTCATTACATGCATAACATAATTGGGACAATTCAGCTCCAGGCAGGAATTGCAGAGCTTCAACAACCGTTCCAAGCTTGGATCAACCTTCACCGAGAAAATTATTATTATTGGAATTATTGTTATTTCAACTAGTTGGTGAAATTCAACAACTATTTAATTGAAATTCAGAAAAAAAAATTGAATTTCGTGCCACAACTATTTGTTCTATTTTCAATAAACATTCGTCGATTTATTTGATGGATGAAATTTAACAAGGAATTGTAGATTATTGCGAAAATATCTTCTAGGAAAGACACTGATCGATTGTCAAGATATAAATTATTGCGGGATTGTTTTCGAATGTATATATGCCCTCACCATCTAGTTTAGTAGTCAGAATTAATTGAAATTGAAAAATATTTTCTGAATTTTTATTAATTAGTTGTTAAATTTGGCCAACTAGTAGTTGTTGTTGTTGAAATTCAACAACTAGTTGGTGAAATTCACCAAATAATTTTCTCCGTGTTGACTTGCCGAGTGTTAAAAATTTTTTTATTCTACCCCCCTCCCCCCTCTGCTAATTTGAATTCAAGGTTGCTGAACTGATAATTACTACTAAACTGTATCACAAATGATATGACCAGATGACCGGATGACCAAATAGATGATCGGAACCTCGCATTTCAGCACTTGTCTTCCAAAGGCAATTAATGATTTGAATAAATTAAACATAGCTTTTCTATAAATTCACAGGCATATTAAAGCATTACAATTCAAGCCTAAATTTGATCTTTCATTAAAGATGGCAGCTTATCTCGCGTGTCACATCTTGTGGCGTTACCGCAGTTTTTGGCGTTATCCAGGATCCACGACGAGGGTCTGACCGGCATCAGATCCCAAAAATCCCCAAATATTCATTTTATCTTGAACAAGGGTCCGTATTGTATTGAAACACCCACAGTTCCCTTGAATTCCCATGAAAAATACTCGCAATAATCATTACACCACCCAATAGGAACCTTGCATGAAGCTCAATTCTTTCTTTCTTTCTTTCTTTATTGAAAATCAGTCGTTTTCGAGGACAATTTTTCGGACATGACGTCGCGAAGTCGGCCAGGTAACGCTTCATTGGATGAAAAAGAAGAGAGAGTTGTCCTCCATTGGCCGAGGCGTACCTCAAGATTGGGTTACGTTGACCCCAGCCATTCTGTGATTGGTCCAGCACTCGACTGTCTGTGTAACGTCATTAGCGATCTAAAAGCACTTGAAATCTTCAACTTTTAACGATTAATTATTAATTAATGAGCAACATTTCGAACGTTTGTGAATGATAAATGAATTATTCAGGTTCCGAACTTGAGAATAGAAAATTGAAAATAAATCATGCAAGTTCCCTATTATGTGAGTTGTCACGTAATTTTAGCTGTAGTTTTGCGCAAGAATATACTTGCACGGGGAACAATGTGTTCGACATTCTTCTTTGTAAATTATCTCATTTTGTAAAAGGAGATGCCTGAAATTCACATACGCTTGCAGCCACCGCTCTCAAAGACCTCAAAAAATTCAGGAATGCTCACAACAGCATCGGGAATGTTGTGCATCTACAACTGCTCTCCGTGCCAACTCTGTTGGCTCGACAAGGGTGCAAGTTTCCGCCACGAAACAACGATACAAATTGGATTTTCTTGAGGGGTTTTATTTTTCATAATTTTTTTATTTTGTTTTATACTCCATTCTGTTTCATTGTCCACTCAATGGTGCCAGCGCGGTTGTCTTCGTGTCTCGTAAACCTTTCTATGTCACACGGCTCGTTGAATATTCAGCCAGTAAATCATGGACTATGGTACACGTGTTGGATTCACCACGAAATTCTTCTTATTTGATGATTTTTTTTTTGTGGCGGGAGTTCCTTGGGGTTTTAGAGCTTTCAGCAGGGATTTTCTGAGCTATGGGGAGTGGATAAGCGGAAAGAAATTATATTGCATGATAAAATCGAAAAAAATTACATTACATTGAGAAGAATAATATATGACTTAATATTTTCAATACATCCAAGGACTGATGCAAGTCGACGCCAATTTGATTCGAAAACCTATCTTTGACCCGTTGAATCGTGAATTTATTTAGGTGTCGATGACAAGTTGATTAAGTATAACAACTGACAACAGAACCACTCTCAGGGAATTTGAATTTCCGATAGAAGTTTTCTTTCCCGCATTTCTATTGTGATTGACCAAAATAGAGAATAGTATCGATTAGATAATAAAAGCATGAATTTCATGGTAGATGGTTCCACAGATATGTTAACTAATTAAACACAGTGAAATTACTGCCCACCTGACGATAAATCTACCAATGATTGAATTCATTGAATTGAAACTGTTGAATTCAGATACAGCCTAATGCACTTCGTTGCATTCACGGAGTTCATGATAATGCAGTGGGAATAGTGCACATCAGCAGGATGTACGAGTGATTTGGTATCAACCCAAATTCTCTGAGCTCCCATTGATCTTATTTGCACGCTTCACTGAATTGACCTTAATTCAACCTTCGAGTTGTACTCTACCCCTCGGAGATGTACTATCACGAATAATTATTTCTCCATTGTCAATAGAATCTTCGAAAATTGATAGCAATATCTCTCATCATTTTCAGACATCAATGGAATTCATTTGAGTAATTGCATAATTTTTGGTTCGTGGAGTGCTTTTTCCAGTGGATTTCTGTTACATTCACAATAACTTTAATGAAATGGATTTCGTCACGCAGTACTACATCGCATTTCCACGGTGTTAATTGAGGCAATTTAATTTCGTTTGAATTATCGTAATGATTTTCCACATTGCAGTAATAAATGCTTGTCAAAGACCTCATGCGTGCTTCACCCACATCACTCTCATTTGTGCGATTGTATTCTCCAATTATACAGGGTGTTTCACGGATTGTGAACAAAGTAAATTTCGAGTATCTAGGGGAGAATGCGCCAAAGTGGAACGTTTGAAATTTTTAAAAATTCTTGATATCTCCTTTGATAAGTAAATGATACACGTATAAAAAAATTTAATAGAAAACCTAGCGAATTCAAAAAGAAAATTCTATTGGAATTCTGTCTCGAATTCTATAGTAATTCTATGGGGTTTCGGTAGGATTTCTATCGGAATTCTATTGAAAAATTCTGCTTGTTTTTTGCGCTGATTCTATGGCATATTTGAGAGGAAAAAGCCAATATTTTTAAAATTTCTGTTCGAATTTTCCTCTTGGGATTTTTTCTACTAGAATTATTCGGCACAAATTTTCCAAGTTTTTTCCGCTGGATTTCATTTTATTTTGTATTACAGAATCCGAGTGAAAAAAACTTAGAAAATTAATGCCCAAGCATTCTTATAGAGAAAATTTCAAGCAGAAATTCGAAATCTATTGACTTTTATTATTGAATATCCAGTAGAATCAGCGTAAAAAACAAATAGAATTTTTCAATAGAATTCCAACAAAAATCCTATAAGAACCCCATAGAATTCCTATAGAATACCAATAAAATTTTGTAGTGAATTCGTTAGGTTTTCCATTGAATTTTTTACTCTTCAGAAAGTATGAAATGGCTTCTTAAACGTAATTTACGTTTGTGCCCCCCTAATAATTTTCATTCATATGATTTCATAGGGCACAGCTTGGAACATCAATTGAAATTTTTGAGTGAGCGAATTTTGAGATATAACTGGCTTTATCACTCCTGCTTTCGCACGTGTTTCCCCTCATTTTCGGAAGTAATGTTCGTTTTGATTCTTTCCATCACGTGTTATTCCTGTTGGCGAGTTTCAACTGCTAACGTGGAAGAACTATCAAACTCATTAAAACTTATGCGTTACACAGCAGTTCCGAAGGAGTAACAAGCCTGCAAATTTCCAAAATTTATATTGCCCCAAAAAAGTGGAATCCAGACATGAAACAAAATAAAAACAATGTCGAAAATTCATTCCCTTCCATAAGAAGAAATTGAATTGACAATTACGGAATTTCGTTGTCGAATTCTCTGTACCGATACCAAGGGTCAAAAGGATTTAAAAAAAAAATTGGATCAACTTTTTATCGCACGTTCGGGAATAAAACTGTACTCAACGGGTGAGTTGAGTTTTGCATGTGAATACTGGTGATCTCGAAAGCGATTTCGGGAGTGTCCGGACACTCTCACGGGTACATTCATTCGTACCAGGGCCACTAGGCGAGATTGAAAGTGACGTTCACCAAGCAGTTCTCTCAGTAAAGCTCCTCTCTCGTGTCCATCGATTTTTTGCTCCTTTTTTTATCCGCCTGATGTGACTGAAAATTTCATCTCGGTCGTTCTTTTCTGTTTCAGAATTTGAAGAATCAAATCATGACGACCAACCTCTGGGTGGAACAGGTAAGCAGAATAATCTTTCTGAAAGGAAATATTCATCAATTTGACGAGATGAATTTAAGTGACTAATCGAGTATTGGAAGGATTTTCCAAAGTGAATTTACGGGCACAGAAAGGAATCAAAGACATAAAATGAAATGAAATGAAAAGTTTCCGGTTTCCAGAGCCACTGTACTGAAATCGAGATACTTGTGGCTCCACACCCGGAAAAATGATTTACTTGAATCAAATGAATAAGTTTATTTAAATAGTACCAAATGAAGTTGTTTTACTATTAATAAATCTTGATGTGATTCGAATAAATTCTTCATTTACACAAAATAAACAGTTTTCTTATATTAAGAAAATTTAATTATTTGAATGAAATCAATTTTTTTGGAATCATACAATATTTATTTGATTCTAATAATTTATTATCGCTTTGAGATGATAAGAAACTCGAAAAAGATTGAAGAAAAAACATGTAATAATTATTAGGGGCTGTACGGCAACTACAAGTTGGCAGGGACATATAAACTTTAATAAATTCTGAAAGCAGAAAGCCAACAACCGCTGGTTTTTTAAAGAACTTAATTACTTTACTGAGAAAAAAAATCAATTCTTCACAATTAAGACATATCCATATGAAATTATTTTTAATTTTATTGTCCTATGAAGATACGACGGAGTTGAAAAACGAACACCTGTATGATATTCATTGAAATTTAAAAAAAATGATGGATATAATAAGAAAGGACGACAGGAATAGAACACTCAAGACCCCACGACTTATACGTTTTTGCACAGTAGTACATAGTACGTTTGAAGATATTCGAATTCTAACCATCATTATCAAACCATTTTAAAAGTGGCTTTGAATACATGTGGAATAAATAGATTTACTCGGCTAACTATATTTACTCGGGCCATATATACATCACGTAAGACATTTATGGAGAAGGGGGAAGGGAGAAATTTCTGTTCCATGGTTGCGCTATAAGGGAGTGGATGGTGAAAGAAGGTCGTATATGCTGGAGTGAAAAGTCTAATCAAAAATTGGATCGGAATCATTCTAGAGAAATCGTCCAGATTTTACGTTTCCTAGATTGGGTTCACATGACCTTTTTCCACTTAGTCGGCCTGAAACACCGAAAATCGTCAATATGACCTTTTTCCACATAGCCCACGAATATTGTTGAAACACACTTTCAAAATACTTTCACAAAATACATGAAAATGTGATTTTCTTAAAATAAAACCATTTATTTGAAATAAATAAATGGTTTGTTTAATATAATCAAATTCTTTTCCTTAAAATGAGTAAACAAGTTTATTCATTAGCAACAAAAATATTCTTGAAATAAGTAAAAAAATTTAAAATAGAAATTTTTACTTGATTAAGAAAAAAATTTTCTTGGTGTAGAACGCATGGCACTGAGATCAAGATTATATACCGGTTACTGATGTGAGAGAATAAATGTGAGATGAAATTTTATTTAGCCCTAAGTTGTCGCAGCATTTTACAGAAAATAGCTGGTCGGATGATAAGCCACTCCCCGTCTCCGTGTGTTTTACGATTTCATGAAAAAAAAAGTTGAAGAAAATTCATTTCTCATTTATGGCTATTTTCAAACCGTCAATGAATGAGAAATGGGGATATAAAAGTGAAACAGTCATCACATAAACCAAGAACTTAATCCCATAAAGTGCAAAAATTTCATTTTTTGAGTGTAAACGTGGGGATTTTTTTTTCCTCAGTCAACAGACAATTTGGACTTTTAATCAATTAATTTCGTGTAATTTAGACTTTATTTGTGATCAGAATAGTTATTTTTTGTGTAATAAAAATTAAGATGTTTATGAATCAGTAATTTTGTATTTAAAAACCCTTAACAACCGTTTTATCCCACATACAATGATTCAGTTTACGTTATGAAATTTCACAATTTGATTGAATTTTCAATGCAACATGAATTTTCAGAAACAAAATGACATGAATTTTCAATTTTTGCCTGAATGTTGCTGACTTTTCTGAATTTTGACAGAATAATTGAACTAACAGAATAAGTAATTTATCGATTTCCAAATCATTTGAACAGAAAATCAATGGAATATTTGATTTTTCAAGGACAAGATTTCGTCAAATTTCAGTGGAACTTGAACACGATAAAAATTTTCGGAATTTGGCACGAAAAATTCAGACAAAAATTTTTAGAAGTGTCATTAACGCATCTCGCTTAGAATAAATGAATCATTTTATCAGTGTGAAAAAGGCCCTGAAGTTGCCCTGATCAGACATGCCTGATCAGACTTTAATTTTTTTCTATCACGGTAAACCCAAAAGGTTCTGCACGAAGAGAAATTTAAAAAAAAAACTAGTGCTAGCACGGGAAAAGAGGCACAAATTGACGGCCAGGAAAAAAATTCCAGTGCCGGCACTAGCAATTTCATTATTGGGGAAAACGTGAATTTTTCCCCGTATTTCTGTGAACATTTCACAGAAATCCTCAGAAATTTTACCAGAAATACCAAGAAATTTTACCTTAACAGCACCAGAATTTTTCACAGCCGGTGGATTATGATTTTTTCCAGTATTCGTACTAGAATTTTTCTAGAAAATTTCTCTCCGTGTGCACAGATAGAACGGATTAGTTATTGTTAACGAATAGATTTTGGTTGGAAGTTAGGATCTATGCGGTCTCACCAAATGTTCATTCGTTAATAGTTAACGAATGTATATTTGAGGAGCCTTGTTTGACTTGACTTTCGCCATTCAAGTGAACCATTCGTTAAATATTAACGAATATTCATTTGGTCATATTCAACTCTACCATTCGTTAATCGTTAACGAATCTCGTTTGGAATAAATGAATCATTCTATCAGTGTGACATTCCTGCTTCAACATTAAAATTTTATTAGTAACATGAATATAAAACGGTCCCCCTCAGATCCTGATCTGCCCCGCCGTAGCCAGGTATCCCGTATTGATAACGGAGCAGGGCTTTCCCTGTCCAAAGGCCCGCCTGACCAAATTTCTGCTTGGGGTTACGATATCTTCCGCTAAATCTACCAGATTCCGCAATGTTTACAGAATAGTGATTGATTGGTTGATTGATGAAGCTTTCTTATTCACGTCCAGGAATTGTATTATTCCTTGAGGACAACAATCGCTTAGGTAACAAATTTGCTTTTATTACCTTACTAAAGAATTAATTAGCGAAGAAGAAAAATGAAAATGTAGACAAGTCATCTCAATTCAAGCAATCAAAAACCCAGCTATTGAATAAAACCGTAGTATCGAGTAACTGCGTCTGACCCAGTGTCATTAAACCCTGGATTCCATTGCTGAGTAAATGTATACAACGGCGCGCAGACACTCGGAATTGCCGGAAAGCTCTCTACCTGGAACTAAGTGCTCCGGCAAAAAAGAACTTCTCTTGAAAAAAAAGGGAAACGGTAAACTAACAATAGGGGCTACGGAATCAACGAGGGCAGCGGTACCAGGGACAATTAAAGAATAATTATCTCGTACCAATTAACGTACCTATCTGCATCTCTGCTTGACTTTACCATTCCTCCGGATTCCTCGGTTGTTACAATGATTTTAATTACTCCATTGGAAAATGAATTCCTTTGATTCACTCAATTCCGGTTTTTGCGGGCATTTGATTTTTTGTACTGTGGGAGGGTATGTCTGTACCGCTTACCTGAGGAACAATTTTAATTTTGCATCCTAAACCTCTAATTAAGATAAAAAAAATTCTTTTGAAGGTTTTGACTATCCACTGCGTTATATGTTGAATGTGCAGACTTAACCACTTTCTAGAATTTACAAAATGAATAAAGAACGAATGTAAAAGTCGATTGAGCGGTATTACTCGCCCTCGGGTGATAGCTTTCGGCAGGACTCAAATATCGCTCATGTAGTCTGCTATACGTATATCTCTCCTGCTGTAATCTAACCTCGAACCAATCACTGTCAAATTATGGAAAGAAAATATGAAGTGGATGGAGTGAAGATTGAGAAATAGAGTGAACAGGAATACGTGCTTCATCATTCCATGGAGAATTATGAAGTGAGTCCTTGTTTTTTCATTAATTATTTAAGTTGCACTGTTAAAAAAATTTAGCTGAATTTTCCGGAAAAATACTCGGAATTCGATTTAAGGAGAAAACGTTAATGGAATTTCAAGTTTCTCTGAAAATTCAAGTAATGTCCCATTTTTTTGCGGCAGAAAAACGAAAATTCCGCAATTTACATGAATTTTCAATCCCGGTTCCAACCCTACTTACTCCAAAATCCTATCCAACAATATCCTGTGACTTCACAAGATGTGGAACGCTATATAAATGTCCCTTCTTCTGTGAAAATGAATATTCAGCGAATCCCTTTAAAATTCTTGGAATTCTAAAAAATTTTGAAAAAATTCTCTGAAAATTCAGAGGAATTTGGAATTCAAGAAAAGATTGCTTTGAATTTTCCCAACTTTTCACTAATTGCCCCGCAATAATTAGAATGAATTTTGCGGTTCTCACTCATTTGTCCCTGAAATTATGAATTGTTAATGAAAAAATTCCTTGAAATTTCAGTGACAATGTAACTTGTTAGAAATGTCCAAGACTCTTGCCAGAAATTTCAGTGGAATATTTTTAACAGTGTGATTCATGTGGTTTGAAGGAATAAACATATAAAGAATTTATGAATATATTGATTATCATAACACCTTATATTAGAACCTTCGACGTTTCTTTGTTCAATATTGTGGGTTGTGCATATTGCAGATCACTACAACGCATAGAATTACTGATTGTGAGTGGTATTGAGTACCGGCCTCACTCGGACTCACTATGAACAAAATCATCAGTAATTATTAATCCGAATCGCGGAAAAAGTTCAAACTGGGTTTAAATTTGCGCATAAAATACGAGAAGTTGGATAACAGCCGTTTTGTGTATCAATTTGGGGGTTAAAACAATAAAAAACTTTACACACAGCAAAACCTAAACGAAAATTACGTTTTGC